TCAGGCAGCCATTTTCTCTACTTTTTTGTTGTCAACATTTTACTTCTGCATTTCCAAAACCTCCCTATTAATCGGTGGAAAATATCAGATTGCCTAGAAATCCAGGAGAAGCTGATAGGGATTCTCCCACTTTCAGTTATCTGGTATGATCGACAGAAGATTTGGGGGTGAAACAGCGGCCACTACACACCCCCTGCCCTTTAAGTGTTGGGGGCTTGAGAAATGTCGCAGCCCGATGCGACATGGATAACAAGGTCCCCGAGAGTCGCCCCTTGTGCAGTTCACAACGGTTCCTGTTTCTCTGCTGTTTTCAAACACATGCTCTGGGTTAGCGGATCTCCTCGGGACAGAGGTCCAGCCTTGGCAAGCCTATGCATCAGTAGATTAAAGAAGTAACAGGAGTCTCAGGGAATGGAAATGCGACTGTTTGCATGATGCTAAAGTGGTGGGGGGGGGGGGGGGGGAGGCAATGAGAAATCAGAACGCAATCACAGTAATTAGTTTTTCTGGGCTGTATGACATTTCTCATTTCTGATGGTCAGCTGGGAGAAAGGGAACAGTTTGTGTGTTTGCGATTTGCCGTTTTAGGTTTTGGGTGGGTTCCCAGTTGCTAAGGGGAAAATGGAAAGAGATTGTTAATATTGTTCCAGTTTTTCCTCCCCCCCTGTTCATCCAGGACTGCTTTTCTGAGTCAGCCTGCCTTTTTAATCACTGTAAAACAGGAGAGGGATAATTATTTTATGTTTATTAATGTGGAGCCAACCCTGGGGAGATTAAGGTTGATCTGAATTGATAATTTATGCAAGTTTGAGGGGGGGGGGGGAATTAATAAAGTCGCCATCAGTGACAATTGCCAACTTTCAGTAGACTTTGTCTCCACGGATGTATCTTATAGATACTGGGTTAGCTTGCTGTTCAAATTCTTTGTTTTACTGTTTTTTTTTTTTTTTTTTTGCCGTTCATGAGCTCAAAGGCCAGAGTAACAGTAGGAGAAATGTCCTCTATGGCTTTGTGTTCTGGTGATTTGCAGAAAGAAATTGTTGTGTTTGGTGCAAATGGGGCTTTATACAGAACCCCAGGAGTCTGGTGTGACCTGTGTCCTACCTTCACCTATTAACAGTGAGGATATCATGGGATTGATCAAACCATTGTTCTTATAGCTGGTTTCTAATGTGGCTCTGACCCCCAGGGAAGTTTCTAGGATTTTCTAGGCATAAGAGGAGGGCATAATTGAAACTGACGGGCTAACTTTATCGTTAGTCGATGCTGTGTTTTGAATCACTGAGGGACAGAGTGGGGGGGGGGCACTCCAGGAAGCCGTCAGCTTTCAGCTGGGGCTAGTGTCCCTGTAGCCCTGCCCCTGTATACACCCCTGGTGACCCAAGCTGACCTTCAGACTGGATGGTATTTTGCATGTGAGGGTCCCTTGGGACACCTTAGGACTCCTGTTATGCAAACGGACCCCCTTTGAGTTGTTTTTGAAATGTATTTTAGCAAATTAGACGTAGATACGGTCAAATCACTGTTAAGGTCTATCAGTGTGCGTCTGATGTCACTGTAAATATAAATGCAAAATGTGTTAATTAAAATACTACAATCTTATGACATTTTTCAGTTTTTTTTCTTCCTCCCTTTTTAGTGACTATTTTTATTTGTAAATGCCTGTGGCCTTTTTTAATTAATGTTATGAGACACGAAAACACCATGTTTTCTTAGGCTTGGCCAGAAAGCTTCATCATCAGTGTGGTGAAGTCGCACAGTGGTTACTCATTGATTGGAATTTGCATACGAGGACACAGATGTGTGCTGGGGACTGCTTCTGCGTGATGTTTCATCACTGCTTAAAGCCTTTACATCTCCTGGTTTACATCTTCCAGAATCTCCACGGTAGTGTCATCTCGGCGACTCTGAAGGGGGGGGGGGGGGGGTGAGCTCCTTTCTCACCACTATGAATCTGTGTTGACGCTGAACATGAAACGTGGGTGGCATGACAAGGTGGCGTATAAACAGGCAAAATTTTCCTCAAACATGGAGGCTCATGTCTAATTATTTTTTTGGTTGCTGATTTATCTGTCTGTCTGTCTGTCTGTCTGTCTGTCTGTCTGTCTGTCTGTCTGTCTGTCTGTCTGTCTGTCTGTGTACCTGTCTCCCGATCTACCTGTGATTTTGCACTGGATTATATACCTGTCTTCTACTGTTGATCTTATGATAAATGCTCATTAATACAGGCATCTTAATGTCACTAAGTAGGATGTTATTAAGCAATGTGCAATACATATGATAGTGTTAAGTCTTCTGACCGTAATGGCTCCTGTATGTGTGCACTTGACGATTTGAACCAGCTCTGTTTTTCTGCATTGGCTTTTTGCCTATTCCCAGTGTGAAGCTGTTCACATCAGAAATCAAGCTGCCTGCCCATTTTCTGTAACTGCCTATCTAGTACAGGGTTGGGGGGCTGCTGCAGCCTCTCCCAGGAAGCTCAAGGCGCTATGTGGGGGTGGGGATCCTAGATGGTCACAGTCACACATGCACATGCACAGCTGGGGCAGGGATTGAACTAATGGCCGCAGAGGCGTGGGATCAGCCTGCTGCCCGCTGAGCCTCCGCACCGCTGCTCCTGAAAATAAAAAAGAGAGGCTGACAGCCGTTCCTTTATGGTCCCCTAACATTGCAATTGTCATCTTCAGGTGACAGATTACCTAGGTATCGCTGAAGTAATTATTAAGTTACCAGCAGCTTCTTGGGAGTTAATTCCTCACCCTTGGGAGGTGCAGTCATCGTAGCCATCGTCAGTCTTGTGATTTTTGTATTTATTTCTCTTGGCAAACGGAAGAGGAAGGAAACAAGCGGATTGTATCTGAGAGCTAGTACCTACTATGTTTTTTACACGTCCCTGTTCTGTGGTCCTGTGGTCAGGCCAGATAATTATGTGCTGACAAATCTCCCTGATGGTCGCTCTGCACATCAGGCCCATACCCATGTGGTCTTAATTTGGATCCAGGGAGCAGGGGTGCATAAAATGATGCAACCCCTCAGCAGATGACTTGGCGAATAAGCCATTTCAATAACCTGTTTTGTTCCATATTGGCCCTGAATTGTAATGACCTCTAATGCCCTGTCCATGCCCTGCTACTCACCTCATTCAACTTTCCTTTGTGCTTCTCCACCCCACTGAGACAGAATGAAAAGGTTGTCCTGTCACTTTATACCACTTCCCTCAGACAGATGGAGAGAAAGCCTTCATATTGCTTTTCATTCAATGCCTTGTTCTGTTTTTTCCTGTTCACCGTTTGGAATAAGTTATGGCCAAAACATAAAAATGAAATGGCCTGTCAGCTGCTGTTGGTATTAAAAAGGCTGGGTATTGTCCCAGACTTTCTGCTGCCATTTTAGGACCATCGCTTCCTGTCTTCTAGAAGCATGATTCCTCTGCCTGCGTCAAAAGAGCAAGACTAAAGCCAAAGTGATTCCATAGCTAGAATTCTATTATTTTTGTCATGTGTGCAGACGATTAGCCTAGCGCTCATGAGGGGGGCATCAGCCAAATTTAAATGTGCAGTTAATTCACATCTGGCCACCTACATTGCTTGTATTAATGTTTCCAGCGGAGTACTGAGAGTATTTGCTAGGGTTGCAAAGGGGCAGAAATTTTCCGGAAACTTTCCATAAACTTTCCATTATGTGGGAAGTTAAGATGGGGAATTTTGGAAATATTCCTAGTTGGAAACTTCCCATGGGAATAAAGAGTAATATATAGGGATTAATGGGAAAATTCACAGAATTTTGCAACCCTACTGCTGTGATACTTTAGTTGAGATTGACAATATTTTGCTTAAGAGATGGGGAATGCTAGACGTGGGCCATGGTTAGACACTACCATTGAACAGTCTGGCATTTTGCTTCCTGAACCCCCCGGCAGTTCCCGCGCTGATCACGCACCCTGCATTTAACCTTTTCCTGAGCTGTAGGTCCAGCATTTTCAGGGGGGGGGGGGCTCCTTCACTGGCTGGGCCACTGCTCCGACCTACTTTCTGCTGAAGCCATGGAACAAATGAGGTTTTTGTTTGTGTTCGCTGCTTTATAATGACTTTGTGGGAATGGCATCTAAGAAAGATCAGGGGAACAGTCTGATCAAAACTAGCTGATCGTGTGCATGCGTGCGTTGTGTGTGCGTGCGTGCGTGCGTGCATGCGTAGTTTGTGTGTGTCTGTGTGTGTGTGTGTGTGTGTGTGTGTGTGTGTGTGAGTGTGAGTAAGAGAGAGAGAGGGGGGGTGATATATCAGACCTGATAAATCAATCTCTCATCAGGGTGGGAATTTCCTTCTCCCCAAATGTGGCCCAGCTGCACACAGCTCATTCCAGGAAAACCCGTTTCTGTCTGTCTGTGTGGGTTTGGCCAGTTTGGTTCAGAATCTGTCATGGTAACTCTCTTTTTTTAAAGAATGAAAAAATTCATTGTAGTAATGAAATGAACCTTTAAATATGTATTTTTTGTTTGTCCTTCAGTAGGTCCTCGGGGTGCTGCACGCCCGGACCTCCCGGGTTTGGGTCACCTGCCAAGGTCCTCCCTGACTTTCTAACTGGTCTCAGTGTCAGTGGTGACACTGTGCGAGCCTGTTGTAGGATCCAAGAGACAATGTCAAAATGTCTCCAATACGAGCCAAAAATTTTGATAACCAATAGTACCGGCTAATATTTTCTATGGTCAAAAATTAAACTCGTACCTATAGTTTAAGGTCGAGTGCTTTACCGACTGATGTAGTCAGTCAAACTCAAACAAGCAGCGGAACTGAGTCAGACACATAAAATTCAAAAGGCCACCATATAACCTTAAGCTTGAAACAAGTTAATGACATGACATGAGAAGAGATGCACAAGAGCAAACTCAAACTGCATTGTCTGTTCTACTTGACAAAAGCACCTTACAAATTAACTTCTTTGCATGCTTACAATCACTTTTGGCCTCAAGGGTTCGTGTGGAGTAATACAATATTTCCATTCTCGAATGATCACAAATGACATACATTATGTGTGAGTTTTCCTAAGCCTTCCTGGATTTTGGTTGCTTCGGTATATTTGGTCGCCCTTTTGTGTTCATCCTGGCCTACCTCCATTGGACAGTAGATCATGAATGTCTTTTGTTTTCACTCTTATTTGTTTTGGGTTTTGGTTGGGTGTTAGCTGAACCATGTTGTCTCTCTTCCTCTAATTTGCTGTAGGAAAGGTGGAGAGATTATAAGTTTAGGTTCGTTTTGTTTAGTTTTGGTGAAATCCTTGTCCAGTGCTGGTTATCCATCTCTCACATCTAGCCGCTGTAAATGAAGCTCACGGAAAACAGAATTTATTAGTCTTTATTATACACATACATTCTGTTGTGGCTATAAAGGCTGAATTGTGACACTTACCGATAATCTTAGGTGCGGAGTGGTGAGTTATACTACAGGAAAGTATAGTGGTTGTGCAGCAGTAGATAACATAATAAAGGTTCTGTAGTGAGAAGCCCCTTTTTTTCCATCACACTATCGGTGCTTTATCAATAGATTTATGTTGCGTATGTGAAACTTGCCTATGAGCTGATTTTATCAGCCTACCGATATACCACTTGATCCCTTGCTGGTTGCTAGTTTCTCACCGTCTTGGAATGACTTTCACTTGGCTTCTTCCTATGCATATTTCTTGTAAACCTCATTGGTGTTCTGCTCAAGCACAGTCGAACAGACCTCGGTGGCTTTCGATAGTTGGTCCAAGCAGGATGTTCTAATCGTGTCTTTGTGCTCTCTGTCCTTCATCGCATTTCATCTGAGGTCATCTTGTACGCCAGCCTAGTGCCGTGTGCACTTCAGATAAGTGAGTAGTCTTTGAGGTTCCGCTTCCTTCTATGGTTAATCACTTATTACTGGAGCTATGACAAGTCATTAGCGGTCTAATCCCTCTAGGGCTCTCTGTCATGTCCAGAAGTGACCTCGGGGCTTCTCCCTTTCACTTTTTAACCTGACGAATTGCTCAACTTTTGGACTACAGTCACTTTGCCTTAAAATTCACTCTGATTCCATTTTGGAAGTGGCCTTATGTTTTGCTTTTGAAATTAACTTTTTGAAATGAATGCCAAAAAATGTTTCTTTCCAAAGCATATTGCAGTCTGTTTTTGCTTAATAGGAAAAATGGTTCATTCGGCGTCATTAATATTCATGAGAGAGGAGAAAAACAGCCTATGCCAGCCGATGGAGGTACTGACCCGATTTAATAGGACTCGGTTGGTACAAAACGGATCGGGTGTAGCAAACCAGGGGCAGGCTGAGCATTGGGAGGTATGCGCCGGGCTCAGATAATTGCCGGGCTGTTCTAAAAATAACCAGGAAGGCAAGACGGCCGCGGTCGGAGGAACTTTGGGAGATGGACAGAGGCTGTGGCTCCGCACTGGGCGGCGAGTGCAGCCGTTCCCTTCCTCTTCAATCCCCTTCATTCCCTTTTCGCTTTTTGTTTTTTTCATCTCGCTTGTGTTCTAGAAGGCTCGCTGAAAGATTCTGGAAAGTCGACCTTAAAGACTCTGGAGCGCTTCATCATTTGGAGTTGTGGCAGCGATTGATTCCAACTCTGGTTCCTGCTTTTCAAAGCCTCAAACTCATTCCTGGAGGAGCATGTCTCTTTGTCTTGTATGTGGGTTGTACACTGTTTGCCTGATTTTTTTATTATTTGTTTTTTATTTATTTTTAAATGTCCCCTCCTATTTCGCCCTGTGAAGCAGAACTTTCACACTGAAGTAATATTTACACACACTGGGAGTGTAGTCTTCTGCGTCCGGTGAGTGTACTCTGTTCTTCTATTTCGTGCTCCACATCGCGGCAGGCTGCTTCATTTCGGGAAGCCGGTCTGCCCTCCCCACCCTCCCCTCACTCACGTTTACCATTTCCCATGTTTATTCTCTGAGGTGCCCCCATGGGTCTTTGGAATATGAGCCAGATCGAAGCTTTCTCATCGCCGTAACATTCTCGAGTCAATAAGCGTGTTTTTTGGGTTCGTCCCAGTTTGTCAGTGGAGGGGTTTGTGCAAACGTGAGCTCTGTGGGGGCAGTGTCATCAGTGAGTTTTGTCCTGCAAGCGCATGCCTCCATCCCCAGCCCCCCCACCCCCCGATTGCCCCACCTCCTCATTTATCTTCAGGTCTGTTCAGACTAAGGCAGAGGGTGTCAGTCTCCAGTTTAACTGCAGACCTTTTTGGGGCGACGGTGTGGGTGAGGGGGGGGGCACACCATGGTCTCCCCAAGCTCAGCACCAGGTTCTGATGCTGGCCCAGCTCAGCCCCGCATTGGTGCCGCTTCCCCAGCTGCTGTGAGAGATCCATATGGCCACGATGACATATGGTGTCGCGTAGTGACACGGCAGCGATGAACGCTCACACCAGCACCTGCAATCTGTTCTTGGCTCCCCAGCCTGTGGGGGAAGGGGGCAGCTACGGCCCCCCCTTGCGTCTCTGCCCCTGGCTCCCACCGGCCAGCCTGAGCGTCTATATTCTGCTCCCCTGGACTTAGACTTCGATGCCTCATCCGCTTCTTCTATCTGTATTATTGTAAAAAATGCAGATGCCCAGCATTGTTGCCACGCTGCATTCCTGCAGGCCTGCGACACGGTGTCGCGATCATGTATGAGCCTGCTGTGGGTGTGGGGAGGGTGGCCCCTCTTTCGCAGCCCCCTTGCAGCCCCGCAGGGGCCCGATTCACACCTGAAGGCCCAGGTGACACTAACTGCAGCTCCGGTTCTTTCTGGATGCTTCCCCGCCTTTTTGTGGACCCGGAAGGTGTTTTGTTTAGATGCAGATGATGCCAGCAGCGATTAAAGCAGGCGGCGGTGTAGAATGTCTCCACAGACGCCACACTGTTCACTTAGTGACTTATTAAATAACGTCAAACAGTATCAACACGCGGCAATTCGCTATAATCCCCTCCGTCTGTTTCCTCTGTTCTTCCATTTGTCGTGCTCTTATCGTCCACGCTTAAGGCTGTCTGCTTAAGGATTTCTGTCTAAGGCTTCGGTTCGCCATGGTGGGAGTGTCGACAGAGCATGGCAGCCATGAAACTGCGGGTGTGACACTGGGCTTTCTGGGATCATGTTAATGTCATTTTTTATTGGACGAGGGCAGTTGTGTGTCGAGATGGAGGCTAGTTGGCTGGTGCTGATGTCATCTGAAACGCACTACGGTCACAGGGACACCCCAGGTGGTGATCCACACTGCATCTGCCGCCCCCCCGTCCGTCTGTGTGATTGTGAGGGTGGGTCGTGAGGTCAACCGCGACTTATCGCGGTTTGACGTTAACTGACACCAGCTGTTCATATGGAGGCTTTATATCTTGGTGTCGTCCTTGAAATGGAGCTGAAATTGCCCCAAAATAGGGGGGTGAGGTCTGAAATAGACACTGCAAGTGTTGGGGTGCTTAGCTGTGTCCACACACACACACACACACACACACATACACACACACACCATTCTTTCCCCCGTTCCCCATTTTTGATCAGCCCCAGTGGAGGTGAAATTACAGTCTTCTCTGTGACTGGTTGAATAACGCAATGGAGGAAGTCAAAGTTTAGTTATTAAATTATTTAAAAATGATTGCATTTATATATTGCTGAAGCCCTTAGGTTTTTAATCATGGAGTCGTTGAGCAGTTTGCAGTGCTCTAAATAAAGGCGGCGTTGTTCGATTTCGCGTTCCTGCCGTCTGATGGGACCGTATCGTACATGAGCAATCGACGCCTCCTTGGAGATGTTTGCGGGGAACGGAACTGTGACATTCTGCATTCCGTTCCGGCATGTCGGAGCACATCCGAAATAACGTGCTATTCTGTCCCTCCCCTTCCCCGCTCCCTCCCGACGTACGTGCCAGTGAACAGATCACGCCCCACTCCCTCCCGACGTACGTGCCAGTGAACAGATCACGCCGGGTGTGTGCTTGTATCTGCGGTTACATCCTCGCTCCATAAAGCAGATTTGCTCTGAATCCTGGGGATTTCTGGTTCACACTTTGGGCTACGCTTTATGAAAACTTTCCCTTCCTCCTGTTATTGGTAGGCTTCAATTCGGCCCCCTCCTCCATTACAGCTGCTATTCCTCAGTTCGGTCCACCCTTGAGCCGCCACCCCCCCCCCCCCCCCTGCCTTGCCTTAGAGCACATTTGGTCCTGCGCCGTTTCATCCTGATGGCCCCTGTTAAAGTCGGGCTCCAATTACTGCAGGGGCTGCCATGGGGAGTGATGGTTAGGGCTCCGAATCGAAATCCCCAGAGCTCGTTTTAATAGCTCGGAACGCTCTGGGGCAACAGAGGACCTCTGTGACCTCTCTCAGGTCTGTGAAGTGTAGTAGCAGTCTCTGGCCAGTAGGTGCCCAAGATGAGCTTTAGCAGGCTTAATGACAGACTTGTGAAGGAAAGTGCTGAGATTATATAAGAAGATATAAGAAAATGCTAAAATGATAAATCCTTTACTTGATATTTGCACAAGGACGAGTACAGTTACATTGGACCCCACCTTGCTATCTATAGCCTGAGGGTCACAGCACAAGGTCAGCCACCATGTGGCGCCCCTGGAACTGGGGGATAGGGGCCCACCGGCATGTCACTGAAGAGGCACTTATTTACTGTTCACACGGTGTACCTCATCATTTACTGTATGTGCACTTATTATTTTTGTTTTGGTCTGTGCTAATTTCCGCTAGCATGTTAGAGAATCGGCATGTTATGCAAGTATCAAACGCTAGCAGATGTTAGTGCTGTTACAGCTCGGTTATGGATCAGGTATGGTATTTATAACTGTGGTTGTTTGGGGTAAAGGTCCGGTACAGTTTGGTTCTTGGTGCCAGTGGAAAAGCACCATAAGTACTGTTAGGTTAGCATATGCCTACTTTCAGTTGATAACCTTTTGGAATCCATTGTGCTGGGGGGGGGCAAGACAGGTTGGACTCTAAACTCTATCACAACCGCCCCCCCCCCGGGCACTCCTCGGCTTGTTCCGGCCTCTTCCAAGGGACTTTAAATGTATAGCTGATTCCTAAGATTATTATTCGAGTATGTCCATATATTTTTGGTTTTTTAAATCTGTAACGTCCTGGGGATGTACCGGAGTGCTAGATGGGCGAAATTCTGTTTGGTGTAGCTGCTTTTATTAATTTGTCACGCTCTAGTTCTGGCTTGTGAGTCTCCTGCTCCTGCACTTGTCTCATACACTTTTAGCCTAACCTTAGCCCATTTGCTGGCTGTTGGAGCTTAGCGCTTAACACTTGGCCCCGCAGCGAAGTCACTCAAAGCTTGTGGAAAGGATAGCCGTTCTGCTGGGTTTTTTTTTCTTTTTACGTTATTGAATGCAAGCTGCCATGATGCCGATACTTCAAAGGGGTCTGTGAAGGGTGGCCCCCAAAAAGGAGGAATAATTCTATTCACTCGTACTCCACCCCCCCCCCCACCCCCGTACACACACACACACTCACACACACATACACAAACCCCCAGGCTGACACTGTGTTTTCTGTCTGTGGAATCATCGAAACGACAGAACTGAGACTTCCTACAGCTGAAGCAGAGATGGACAGCATCTCCAGCTGACTGGTCCGCATGATGTCACCTGTCTTTCCCACCTTGTGGTGTCCTACGCAATGTGTCTTGCACCTGTAAGCTTAGGAAAGGTACATTCAACTCAAGAAGTCCGAGCAGTCTGCAAGTCTACAGTCTGTTTCGGTGTCTATCTACTCAAAAACACACCTGAGACTGATTCCGGTTTGGGTGTGGTGATTTGTGGTGATGTGTGTTGGGACATTGTGCCTGTGGCTCGGAAGATCGACGGGTCGAATCTCGGGGTCGGCAGAAAGATTTCATCCTTCAGACCTCAGCATTAGGCCCTCAAGCAAGGCCTCATTGTTCAAGGCCCTGTCTGACCCGGCTTCCTAAAATATGTTGGTCCGCTAAATTAATAAAAATGTCAATGTTAGTATATTTACTAGTGAGAACATTGGTATTCATTAAGCACAGTGCTGCAGAACATTTTTAGTATACGAAAAAGTATCCGGACATGGCTCACGTGCCGGCATCTGATTTACCTTGTATGTTATATTTGTGCACGATCTGCTCATAAATCTAAACGTAAATACCTGTGTTCCCTCCGAAAATCTACGTTTTTGAACACAAGTCCCCCCTGAACAGGAAAGTCATGCTTTTTGTTCTGTAGTAACGTCTGGATTGAGATGGATGTTTGCCTATCCTTTGTATTGTTAGTGCAGCAGAGACAGGTGACAACTAGCATGCGATTACTATGGGAACTGCGTTACTTCAGGGAGATGTAATAATCTACATGTGATGGTAAAACTTTAAGACTGTGAAAATACCAGTTATATACAATCATAGTTACATACAGCTGCTATTTTTATTATAATAATAATTGTAATAATAATTATTATTATTATCATGACACGGAATTGAAAGTTTCAAAAAACAAAAATGAAAAAAATCAGAATCTGAGTCTTTTTACTGCCAAATGCTATAACTTAGAAGGACGTCATGCAAAACAATCAAGACGATCAATGTAATACAATTATGTAATAAAATAATGTAATAAAACAAAACCCCACTTGAACACCTAGGTTTTTAACTTCTCAGACTCTGCCGGCCGATTACGGGAAGGTTGGTAAACCGCCAGCTCTTCAGTTTGTTGGCATTGTTGGGGCATTTACTCTAATCGATATCATGACCCGGGAAGCACGGGGCGCTGTGTACGTGTAATGTCTCGTCACACGGCAGGCCTTGCCCCGCACCGCCGGCCTGACTCACTCAGTGGAAAATCGAAGGCCAGCTAACCCGCGGTTACGCCCGACGTGTCCCTCATGCTCCCTGCCTGACGGGCCGTCCCTGGAAGGGGAAACGAGCTGTCGGACGCCTGTAAGCACTTTTGAAGGGCGATTTCCCCGCTGCCTGCATCTGTCATCCTCCCATGTCCTGTCCCTGCCCCTGAGCCCTTTGCTCTGAGAAAGTACGGAGATCTCCCAGATCTGTCTGCAGCTCAAAATACGATTGACGTTTGACAGATGGTTTAATTAAGCTGGCAGACTAACTGAGTGGCAGGCCTCAACTCGTACTTTGCTCTGTACCTCTTTTCGTACATTACCAGAAATATAGTCCCCTCTCCAACATTGTTGCTAAATGATAGGATTGAAATGGCACATTGTGGAAATATAAATGGCTAGCTTATTACAAGAATGGTTTTCTGTATGTTTTGCATTTCGCCTGTTCTGGATCTGTCCGGTTTTGTGGATGGTCTTTAGTGGTGAAAGTATGCACTGAAAGTTGGTGAGGTTCTCAGAGGAAAGCCGTTTCTAAATGCGCCATGAAAAGTGTAATATTATACCTATAGGTAGGCTTGTATTTACACGCGTGATCAGGCTCCAAAAATGTGCTTCTGTTAGCAGTTAATTCTGGCTCGATCCAGCCTGGTCACTTACGGAGAGGCTTTCTCTGCTTTTGCCAGGATTTCTGGTTCCGGCTGTCACATGCCGTGGTTCGTCTGCCAAGGGTGGCAGGCTGCGGCTTAAGGATTAGGGAATGAACCGCGCTTATGAAGACAATAGAAATGTTTTCTCCCCCTTCCGATGGAAGCAGTGATTCGCTCGCCACGCTCCCATACCAGCTCCGTAAGGGACAGCTCGAACCCGTTAACTTCGATTGTGGAGAATGCCGTTGATGTGAATTTCCAGCCTCGTAACTTTGGTTAACCTGCTTGGTTGTTGGTTTCCCTGGACGAAGGGGAAACAGCTTCCCTGTTCTTGATGTATTCTGTCTCTCTCGTTCTGTCTTCCTCTGGCACAGAAAGACTCCATGAAAGATGACAGAAGAGGTCATAGTTATAGCCAAGTGGGATTACACGGCCCAGCAGGACCAAGAACTTGACATCCGGAAAAATGAGCGCCTTTGGCTGCTGGACGACTCCAAGACGTGGTGGAGGGTGCGGAATGCCTCCAATAAGACAGGCTACGTCCCCTCAAACTACGTGGAGCGCAAGAACAGCCTGAAAAAGGGCTCATTGGTGAAGAACCTTAAGGACACATTGGGTAAGGAGAGACTCTATGTCCTGTTCCTTCCTTGTGGGTCTTGTGGGTGTTTGGTGACACGTCGGCACGCTCAGGCAAAGGTGAACAATGACCACGTATCTACGCTCCAGGTATGTGTGGTGTGTAACTTCTGTCGTCGTCCAAAGTCAGTTGGATGAACAACCAATGGAAACCTTTGGTCTGTGAAGAGTGTGTTAAGCGTACAGGGGTTTCAGGCCTCTGTTCTCAGCACTTAAATTGCATGGATTCAGCAGCCCTTTCATCATGGAAGCTGCCTGTGCTTCTTGCCTACGGAGGTTTGGTAGCATGGCTGTGACAGAAGATGGTCTGAGCACCTCCGGTTATAGACTCTCAAGAATCTTCTAACCTGTCACCCGAATGATGAAGGTTTTAAGTTTTGGAATGCGTCACTGGGAATTTTGTTCAGTCTAACGGGGAATGACAGCCCGGTAGAAAAGGAGCTCGAGTACCTTCTGCTTGTGTTGAACTGATACGATTTTTAAATTATTTTTGGAGGAACCTCTCTGCGGAGGAGTGGAACTAGTATTCTGGAGATGCGTTATGGGCCTTTAAGAGACTATTTGGGGAGTTTTTCAGTAGACGTGGGCAGTATCCATGAGTGTCATGCATGGATAAGAAAATAACTCAGTGTGTGTATACCTGTGCCTAGCTAAGCAGCAGCCAGATGCTCCCAATACAGGAATCAGGAAGTTTACAAACCACCTGATTGGTTGTTATAGTCTCTCTTGTGTACCTTTTCTTTATATTGGTTGGGCACTGGAGGTTGTGATAATTGTGATTAATAGGTTCATTACTTGAGTCAATCCTAGCTATAGTCTCACTTTATGATGTAATATAGCACTGTTTTGAATCTCTTAGTGTCATGGTGTGGATGAGAAATTAGCACGCGCCCAGTGTCTGTCCTACTTTTGGAAGTCCACCACATGCTTAGGATTCTTCCTGCTATCGCTGGCCTCGGTGGCCATCGGTCACCTCGGAGCTGGGACAGGAATCCTCTGTGGAGTTCCCGGTTTATCTGTGTACGTGCCTGGTGGCGGTTTCTCGCTGAAAATGGCCTGTATGCTCCCCGAGTTTTGCTCCTTAAGTCCCCCTGGTTTTCTGCTGACTCTCTCACATCACTCCTAGCATCATTCTTCGGTTAGTTTTATTTTTTCCCCTCTAAACCATATAATTGGTAAATGATATATTATGTCTTTGGTGGGATTGTCGTTTTTGCATGGATACCGGCGGCTTGTGATTGTCTGGCCCGCAAATGCTCCAGTGAGGTGAGACCCCGCTGGCTCTCTTCAAGCAGAGCATCTCACGTGGTAACAGGATATAGGGGACTCCTACAGGAGTGGATGGATGCAGGGATTTGATATTCCCATAGCTGTGTCTAACAGTGCATGAAATCGGGGGCTTCGTGTTGTTGTTATGTTAAGTCGTCATTAAAAACATCCAAGGTATTACGTCATCAAGCCAATGATGTGTTTCCAGGCGTGGCGTCTTTTCCTGCAAAAAGACAAAATAAAATAAAATAAAAATCCAGTGAGTGAGAAACCAGGCCAAACCCTGCTTATGCTAACAGAACGTTCCTCGTACGATGAGGACCAAGCAGGACGGGGCTGCATTACGACAGGGCACCCGCGTAACCCGTTCAGCAGGCTCTCCGGTTTAGCGGCAGCGTAGACTGCCGAAATCGGTTCTGCGGCCTTCGTACGTCAGCAGGGGGGGGCAAAGACGCGTAGGAGCCGATGCCGATGTAATATGCGGTAGCTGGGATTTGGTGGCCTGCAGCGTTTGAGACGGGGCCATCCATAGCGGGGGGGGAGGTGAAGTTAACACGCGTTGAATTTGTCTCCTGCTTTACAGAATCCGAATCGATGTCATTGTTTTCTTTATTTTATTTTATTCCCAGCCCTGCGTGGGATGCTGCTGCCTGTTACAGTTGGCGCTCGCGCACGCAGAGGGACGGCTACTGTCGTGTCGCGTTGCTGCCACCGGCTCAGCAGAAGCGTCACCGATCAAGTTCAGAATGAGGCTACTGGGTTGATGAGTTCAGAGGCGTCTGGGGGCTCTGATTTGTGCACAATAGCAAGAATATGAAGGAGTATTTACTTACGGTTTTGCAGACGCCTAGACTGTTATCTTACAGTCAGTATAGCTAAAAGTAAATATGGATCACAAAAATGTGAAGTAACAGCGGTTCAAATCATGCCTCACCTGTTTGTCAGCGCTGTGCCCTTCTTCGGGCAGATAGGGTCATTTGTTGTGCTACCTGACTTGCATGCAGAGTCATAACCAGCGAGCATCAGGTGGATATCGAGATGTGGGAGCTGCAATCTGAAGTTTTCTGGTTCAGTTTTGTAGCGGCCATGGGCAAGATAGAACATCTGAAATGCTCCAGTGAAATGTTCATCTATCCATCCATCCATTCTCTGTAGCCGCTTATCAGTTGTATGAATCTAAAATCACCTTGAATTTGAGAGTCCCAGCCGTTCAACTAAATGTAATTGTAATTTTAGAAAGCCATGAAGAACCAAACTCTATGAATGAGTGAATGAATGGTGTTTTATCATTGTGTCCCACAGAACCTTCCACAAAACTGTCAGCATAGTAACACTGTGCTTTTGTACTTTGCAGCAGAACAGCCTTTTATACATCAAAACTGTGAATCCCTCTAATCTAATAATCCATCCATCCATCCATTTTCTGTTACCGCTGGTCCTGTTTAGGGTTGTGGGGGGTCCAGAGCATGTCCCAGAAGCTACGGGCACAAGGCAGGGAACAACCCAGGATGGGGGGGCAACCACCTAATAACCCAAAGTGAATAATGAAATAATAAAAGAAACTTGTTTAGGAATCCACAGGCCTGTCCATGCTTGCCGCTGTGTTCTGTGATGCTCATACCCACAAAGAAAAGAGTTAATTCAGCACTTTTGGATTATGCTGTAGTATTAATATCCTTTCTGTCTCTAGCTCACCTGCTTTACTCTTCTTTTCCTCAGTATTTGTGGAGAAAGGGTTCCTCGTTTTCGAGGAAGCTTCCGGCGCCTTCGTGAACAAGCGTTCATTTATTAAACCCGGTGCATGTTGGGATCTCGCTCACCGCTGCAAGATACTTCCTCATGTCAACAAACCCTTGCAGGGGCTGGTTAACATTGAAACAGGCGTACAGGCGTCCATTAGAGGGTCGAGACAAACCTGCCTTTGGTCTACACACAGGCAGCAGTCAGAAAAAAAAGGCAAAGTCAAATTCTGTCCCTTCCGTATTTTCGGTATGAAGCCGGGGTCCTGTTGGACTTCTTGAACCTGCAGGCCTCTTCTCCCTAACACTCCAAGCACAAACAACCTGAAGTTTGCCACGGGCGCTGGAGCTGTCGGGGAATATGCTTAGTTCCACTGCTAATCAATTTTATTTTGCACTATAACCTACTTTTTAATTTTTATTTATTTATGTTTGCTTGGCAGGCTTTCAGAATAACACAAGGCCGGTCTTGCGAACATGCCGATAACGCTGGGAGTGGCCGTCGGATTACGGGCGGGGCAGTGTCTTGGAAACGGTTCTGCGGAATTGTAAGAAATACCTCACCCTCTGTGACGTGCCGTGCGCCATTGACCGAAGTATCGACCAGACGCCGAGGCGGTCGCGGTCTAATTAACACGCGGTTCCTCCGCCAAGATTCATCTCAGAGGTTGATGCTGAGGTCGGCAGCCAAAATCTTACTTGTTCAATTCTGTTCATGTATGTTCTGCTTTTCTGTCATTTTTTTGCGCCCAGTACATCAGTGCTTACTTAGTGTCCAAGAAAAGGAGCAGCTCTTATTTGGCAGGCTGTTAGGCAAGCTGTGGTGGGCCCCCGTGCGGGAACTTCCACTCCGGCCACTTATGAAGCCCTCGGACGCAGCGTCTGCTGAGTAATTCCGTAAAGGTCAACAGGGCTGGGAGCACTGAAGTGCTCCTTGTTCTCGCCGGCCTCTGATTGGCTGTCGCCAAGGTTACCACCCCTGGTCTACACACTGGGGAGGAGCCAGTCTGGTCGTTTCAAAAGGACTAGAAATTAACTAAAAGCGCAGCCGGCCATGTTGGGGCTCTTCTGAATCTCAATGTACCGTCATGTTGGTGTGAAGGCAGATGTGGGAAGAAATTCCTACAACATAGAACCTTAGAATCCCTCATCAGTGGTCTTTAAAGTGCTTTTAATGTTTGTTGTTTTATTGCTGAAAGCTGCCCTATTGTTTCTATAACCTGCTAAATGTTATATACTCCAGAAAATTGTAATGGAAATGTTTCACAGGAAGAGAAGCAGATGATGACGTCTGTGAGCTTGTAAACCAGTGGTTTCATAATTTGAAACATATATGACCTGTGTTTT